TTTTTTGACGCCTACATAGATCCTCAATTTTTTTCACCTATTTTGCTTTGAAAAAAATCTTCCCCATTATAGAGTCTCTTGTCACCATTTTTTTTGGATCCTAAACCAACAGGGAAACAAAAATTAGGAATGAATTTTCAGAATCAAGGTTTCTCATTTTGTGTGTCTCAGGTTGAACCAGACATGCTCTAAAAATCATTTCATATTCAACAAATACTTTCAAGTTTTACAGCTAAAGACGTCCTAATAAAACCAAATGTATTGGTCATGGTGTATTTTGACCATCACACTTGAATGCTCTTTGGAGTCAGATTACATTACACAGAGAAAGTTAAATTAGCATGACTCATGTCATGTAAATATCACATAATCTCATCTTATAGATGATACAAAATGCAAAATGTCAAAAGATCTCATCCCTGTAGGTGAGAGTTAGCCAGGAGATAAGAATCCAAGACGCAAAGAATTTGTCACTTTAACGTGCTGTCACATGGATATTGCTTTAGCTTCCAACTGTTATAACTAACTCTAAATTTAAAAATTTTCATCAATAAGCAACAGATCTAGTAGTTATTGATAACCTTTATTAAGATCACTAATTTTTTATCTCGACGCACAACAATTAAACCAAACAAAAGCAGCTCGACCCCCGTCACCTTGCTGTAATCTTACCTGGAGAAAATAATAGATCAGCTCATGGGATATATTTGTTTAATTTTCTGTTTAAATATTCGCACATTAATTGTTTCAAATATTGAATTAGACCCCCAGATGGCCAACCATTGGAATTGCTATTTAACCCCTAATTCTTGTTATTAACTATAAATTTGTCCCTTTGTTCATTGCTCCGTCTAGCCTCGTTGCTCAAGTTGGGTTAGTGGCTAAAGGGGTGTTTGGTTCAATCTTTATAAATTATAGGAAATGTTTTCTAGCCAAAATATGATTTCCTTGTATTTCTTAAAAAAATTATAGGAAAAGTTTTGAGAAGTCAAAAAGTATCAATTTTCTTGTTTTTTTACTTTACTTATTTGGTTCAAAACAAAAAAAAATGGCCCATAACTTTTTAGAAAATAATAAGATTTTCTATACTTTATAAAAATTAAACCAAACACCCCCTAATTGTTAGACCCTAGAGGGGGAGGAGGGGGGGGGGGGGGTTTGGGGTCTTATGCTAATCTAATCCGATTTTATGCCAATTAAAATTAATTAACAAGTTGTATTCTTGCAAGATAGATATACAAGAGTTTGCCAATTAAAATTAATTAACAAGTTGTATTCTTGCAAGATAGATATACAAGAGTTATAAGCAAGAATAAACAATATACACAAAGTGAGATATCCTATATGATGAAATCTATATGCAATGATATATAAACTAAGGGTGATATAAACATAAACAAGATAAACAAGATAGTGGATAATGTGAACTAAGAGCAAATGACAAAGGCGATATAAACAATAGGCATGAATGTAAAAGAACGCCAATGACAAACTCAAACACACGATATGATCACGGAGTTCGGACCTTCCGTCCTACGTCTCCGCTCCCCACTCCCGGGGAGAATTCCACTATCACAACCGGGTTTTCTACGTTCACCCGAATAACGTTTATACCTCACAATTTCTCTCACGGAGTTCAGTCCCCACGACCTACGTCTCCGCTCCTCACCTCGAGGAGATCTCCACTCACACTCTCACAATGTGGCTACACTCCACCCTCACAATACGGTTTTCTAGCTAACCGAAAACTCTACAACACTCTCAAATAATAACAAATGATTTGTTCTCTAATACAAGGTGAGAACTCAATTAAGCACCACTCAAAGTTACAATCTCTCACCACCCAACTATACTATGTATGAAAGATACCATAAGCTCAATGTGGGTGTGTGTAAACAATGAGTGAGATCAAAATCAAAACTAAACTCAATTAAAATCTAGCATATAGAAATTATAAACAAAATAATAAATAGCTAGAAATGAGTTTAGAGATTCTTCTCTGAATAACAAGATGGAGAGATGGAGATTTGAGGCTCAAACAAGAAGATAATCTCCTCCACTTGTGAAAACTAAAACTGCTTTAAACCAAACTCTTAAACAAGCTTAAACCCTTTTTAAAACCCTTGTTAAAAACTTCTTAGCTCACACAAAACTGAGATCAAAGAGGGTTTTTATAGCCTCCAAAACCTCAGACCAAAACCCCTTACAAAAAGACCAAAAAACCATCTGCAACGGTTCTAAAAAGAGCCGTTGGGACTCCAGCGGTCGACCGATGAAAATCACGGTCGACCGCGAACAAGGTCAGAAACGCAGGAGACATCCAGAGAGTTCGTCGGTCGATCGGCGGAAAATTTCGGTGGACCGGCGGTACTGTAGCAGGTATATCTGATTTTATAAAATCGATTAAAAATAGTAAAACAGCTCCAAAAATTATGAAATTTTGAGGGAAGGTTCTAGATATGTATAAAAACATGTTAGAGAAAGAATTTATGAAAAATCCTTTCCCAGTTGAGAGAAATAAATGTTTGAACATAGAAATACAGTTTCTGAAAATCTGCTGTGATACACGATTTTGTAAAATCAATTAGGTACAGTAAATCAACTCCAAAAATAGTAAAATTTTGAGGAAAGTTTCTAAACATGTAGATAAGTATGTCAAAGAAAGAATTTCTTGAATATCACTTCCCATTTATAAAAACTCATCTGTTTTGTAAAACATGCACGAACATGTGCACGAACGAAAACGTGAATTTGTAAATTCCTTTAAACATAACAAATCAATTCCAAGCTTGATGAAACTTTGAGAAATGTTTGCAAATGATATTTTGAACATGTTACAAAAAGAATTTTCCAATTTGCATTTCCCAATTGTGAAATCTCATTATTTTGCAAAAGTGTTCAAAACATGAAAAAAGTGATATACATGAAGTTTGATGTCTTGACATAAACAATGTTTTGAAACTTTGCACAATGATTATATAGACTTGATAAAATATGTATATGATGATTGTTAAGTCTATAAACTGAGAATACAATATTTGAGCTTAGAAACCAAATACGTGTGTGTATATGATATTGAGCTTAAGGTACTTAACACACATAATATAAAATCTAACCTAAAGTTACCCAAGCAATGATCTTGATCTTCATTGTGGCTCAACTTGGTACACGTTGCGGATGAAGCTTGAACTTGATCTTTGAACGTGATCTTTAACTTGAATTGTATATTGCTTCACCGACATTCCGCCAACCTCCTTTGGATATGATCGTTGAAGCTCTATTCCATCCATCCTCCAACGTTGTTTGTCTACAATACATAAGAATGTACAAACACTAGACAAACAACATTAATAGTAAATTGTTTGTTAAACATCATCAAAACAAAAAGGCCAACACTAAATTTATAGAAAAGTGTCAATGCGGCGTCAGATTTATGGGTAATTTCCGTCCATTTTGAGAGGAAATTAATTTCTGTAAATTTTGGTACTTTTTTATACTTTACAGAAAATATTTCTGTAAATTTTATTTGAACCAAATACAATTTACGGAAATCTATAGAAATTTTTTAATTACAGAATTATCATTATCAGACATTTTGAGAAAACTTTTCTATAAAATTGTGCAACCAAACACCCCCCTAATCTAATGTGCTTCATTACTTTTGACCCTCAAAATCCCAAAATATTCTCTCTCTCTCTTCGGTCCTCAAAAAGTTTGGGTTTAAGGTTAAACTAGTTTATAAAACAAGTTTGACTTTGGATGTAACTTATGGTATTACCTGAAATCCAAGATAAAACATCAGGTTAAAGCAAAAAATTCCCCCAAATAGCAAACTACTTATAGTAATTTGAGATAATTAAATTCAATAGTTTGATGGACTAGTTTCAAAATATAAAAGATTTAAGCGAACAATCTGGATAAGGATTCCCTACAATCATCGAAATCGCTATGAACTCCCCCGATTCCAAATCTGTTTTAAAATTGGTCCCTCATATCATTGAAATTAGTCCCTTATCTTTAATATTTTGCAATTAGTCCCTACAATCATCGAATTCGCTATGAACCCCCCGATTCCAAATCTATTTTAAATTTGGTCCGTCATATCATTGAAATTGCTATTAGGTCCCTTATTTTTTATAAGTCTCTTCTAAGTAATGAGCATAATTAATACTTTTACTCTTTATTTGAGGGACTACTTTTAAAGTAACTCAAGAATTAGGGGATCTAATAGAAATTTCATTGTTTTGATGCACCAATTTCAGAATAACTTAGCAATGTCAATGATTTGAATGACTGACTTCAAAATATAAAAGATTTAAGAGACTACTATAGGAGAATACCTTATGTGAAACGTTAGATATTTTGGGTATTAATTCCAAAAAAACTCCCTTAACTTTCGTATTAGATATCCACTCTCAACTATTTTAATTTGAGAAATCTCCCAAAATTTTTGGGGTGTTGTAGTTAAACCCTTAAACTCTTTTTTATTCTATTAAACTCCGTAAATTTTTATGCATTCAACAAAGCCCCTTGGACTTTAAACCTTTCTCATCAGGACCTCATACCTATCATTGGAAAATAACCAAAATTCTTTTGAGAGAAAAATAATTCTCAATTTAGTTATTTTCTATTTACATGTAACATTTTGCACTCCCCTCGATTGAGGATTTCTTTTTTTAATAACATATTACTTATTTTCTAATCATACGAGAGTGAGTTCGGTGAGAAAAATTTAAAGTAATGGGACTTTTGTGACACCCTGAAGGTTAAGAGGGTTTGGTGGAATAAAAAAGTTCAAGAGGTTATTTACAAACCCCCCAAATTTAGGCGATTCTCAAACTAGAAGAGTTGAGGGGTCTGTCTGCAAAACCTCTAACTGTTAGGGAGTTTTACGAAATTAACCCATATTTTGTCCCACCTATTCATCTACGGGGGTAATTTTACGTGGCGGTGAGTGTATCTCGAGCTTCAAATGAAAAGGAAAGTCGAGGCGAAGCACAGTAAACCTCGGGGGAAGAATCTCACTTTCTTTTTCAAATATCTTTATTCTACAATAAAATAGAAATAGAAATTAGAGCGAAAAAAAGGAGGTGTCTTTTTGAGCACACTGCTTTCTCTCTCGAGTGCGAGTCCGATCTAGGGTTTTGAATGGCGAACCCAAGATTTAGGGCGTCTCCGGCGACTCCCGCTGCCGGTCGGTCGCCGGGTTCTAGGGTTTTGGAGACGTCGGCTCCGGCGAACGGAGGGAGTTTCTCGAAGGAGGAAGCAATCTGGAGGAGGTTGAGGGAGGCTGGATTCGATGAGGAGACGGTCAATAGAAGGGACAAGATCGCTCTCGTCAAGTACATCACCAAGCTTGAATCTGAGGTTTGTGATTTCTTTCTTTATTTTTTTAAAAAGATTTTAGTTTCCTGTTTCTTTATTTTGTTGTGTTTCTTGATTTACAATATAAACTAGTTACTAATGTGGGGTGAAATATTCTGAGAGTTCGAAAATTTTACATTTAATTGCCACCAGAATTAGGAGGGTCCGATAAATATGAATCATAATTTAGTCTAAATAATTTAAGTGTGCTCTCAGTTCAGCTTGAGATTAAGTTGTCACCTTTAGTGAGGCATATTTAGTAGGAGCTTTTCATATAGTCATGCCTGTGCAAATTAGCTTAATTAGTACAAGTTGTGATGATACTGGAATACTATGTGCTCTTGGTGGTCCTATGGATGTTGCTATGGATGTGAAGGGTTCAATCCTTTACAATCGTACTTAGGATGAAGATTTTTTTGTAGACAGATATTTTGGAACATCAATTTTGATTCATGATTCTTGAGCTAATGCTTTTGTTTAGAAATATATTCTTGGCTATTCCATGTATGTTTTGCCTTTGACAAACAATTCCTCCTTGGTAAAGCTGAAATTTGCTTGTTAATAATTTGAAAGCAAACTTCAGCAATTGGAAAGTGAACTTCTAGATATCTATGTTTTGGCGATGAATTAGTTACTTGAAATCTATCCCATCACATTTGATCATTTCCATAGTTGTTTACTTTGAGGGCACTATAAATATAGCTGGAATTAGAATGTTAAGTAGGATGAGTTGCAATATGGCAAGTTTAAGACTAAGATAAGATATGAGTGCATCTGCAATAAGTAAATGGTAGACCGAATTTAAGACACAAGCATGTAGAATTGATCCCAAATGATCTGGACTTTCCTGTAAAGTAATGTCTGAGTCAGTCAAGACTCAGGAGTAATGAAACTGTTGTTGAGGATAAATGGAATAATTATTTTCCAAAAAAGAGGATGGATATGATGAAGAAGGATTCAATACCTGTTAATTGAATCAAGGGGGTTAGCCCCTAATGAAGCTAGTTGGTAGAAAAGCATCTATTTAACAGACCCCAGATATTGGATAAAGGCATGGTCTTCGCCGTCAATTACATATTCTTGCACATAATTATGTGTGGGTGGGTTACTGATACACGTGCATTTAAGCAATTTATATGCTCTGACCAAACTGTAACTCTAACAAAAAGATTTCTCTTGCTTGAGGCAATGAGGTCCTTAAAAGACTTTTAGTTTGAAACAGAATGCTACAAGGTCAATGGGTAGCTACCCACACTAAGGAAACACAACTCTAGATGTTTGCTGTCCTAAATGTAGATTGTAGAATTAAAATACAATGGAAAAACTTACTGGTGGCGGTTTCTGTAACAATGCTGATGTGACGACGTCCGCTGATTCTGAGCTAACAGGAGAGGGGTGGGTTAATAAAATTCCAACTTATGTTTGAACAAGCTATAATTCTCACCATACAAAGTGGTGTATCATAAATTTATAGGGGTTTTACATATATACCCCTTAAATCTTTCAATTTTGCAATGCCCCTCTCAATTCTCCCACATTGAGTTGTTCACCCCTTTCAATTGACGATTTTAGTCTTAAAACAGAAAATATTGCAAACCTATTGGAAATTATTGGACAATTTTGACATTGCATTATTTAGAGAAAATTTTTAAGTTAGAGCAGTGGAAAAATCCAATGTGAAAGAATTGGGGGTAATTTTGCAAATACCAAGATTTGGAGGGTAAAATTACAAATATGGAAGATTTGAGTGGTATATATGCACAAGCCCCAAATTTATAATAGTTCCAACTGTCAGAAGTCCATGTTATTAGTTAATTCCATTCACACAGGGAGTGTTCTGTATATGGTATACTAGCACGTACAGATTTGATGTTTCTTCCTCGATATAGACATAATTATTGTTCCTCCTCGGCCTTCCTTCATATTGCAAATTGCAGCAGTAGTGGAACAACAGGACTTATCATGGCAAGGAGTGATCCTCATTAATAGAAGCAGCAAAGCTCTTGCTTTACTCCTATAAAATTTGTGGTCTCTTTCCTCTTATTATTATTATTATTATTATTATTATTATCAGGGTTTTGTTCTTTGTTTGTAATATGATATTGATTTAAGCCAATGTTTCATACCTTGTTGTAGACCTTATTATTTCTCCTTCTCTCTTGACCTTCACAATCAGTTTAAAATGGTTGGAACTTGGAAACTTATTTAAGACTTTGGAACCTGAGACAAATTGTTTGACACCTAACATATCCCTTTCATGCCAAATTTTTTGCAGGCCAGATTCTATAGCTGTAATCTAAGCAGACTAAGCATGTAGGTGGCAACATGATTTGAATTTTTTTCCTGTTCACTCAAATTATGTAAAAAGTGTGCTTGTGATATTTAATATTATTTGAATTTCTTATTTTTGAAAGATGTATTCTTTCTTTATTTTGAAATTCAAATACAGCAACAATATGCTACTTGACTTTATGTCATGTTCTGTGTAGCCAGTATCCACTGCTGCTCTACACAATGTTATGGTAACATGATAGATACTACTATATTATATGTTTTTTTTGTATAACTTGTTCCTGATTCCAGTATGTATCCCGATGTGTCATATCAAATCAATGCTGCTTAATACTTTTGGAAATAATTTGTAGGTTCTATTTTTTTATATTATATTTTGGTATTGGATGGGAGACTCTTGTATATGTTTCACAACCTATACTGCCTGTTGACACATATAGTTATATATCTTTGGAATGCCATATCCTTGCTTTTACTGTTCAGTTTCAATAAAACTGTTTTTGCCTTTTGTTTTCATTGTAGCTTGATAGTACTTATGAATTAATATAATGCAGTTGTATGACTACCAGCACAGCATGGGGCTTCTAATTTTAGAAAAAAAGGAATTGATGTCAAAATATGAGCAAGTTAAAGTATCTGCAGACTTAGCTGAAGATGTATATAAGCGCAATCAAGCTGGACATGCTTCGGCCTTGGCTGAAGCGCGAAAAGAAGAAGAGAGTCTCGAGAGGGCATTGGCGGTATTGAGAGAGGGTGTCACAAAAATGTAAGACTACAAACTATTTAATTGTTCACTTTTTTCACTATTCAGTTAGATGGTCATTATTTAACCAAGTGTACTTATTATTTGCATTGTCTACCTTTTGACCACACCCCACATTGTATGTCTATGTTGGTCCATACGCTAATAGGGTTCTTTTGTTTAAAGAGTTAAAGACATTGATTATGGTCCATATATTGAATTCTGCTTAGTACATGCACATGTCCGGTTATCTGTAAATTGTGCAAGTATGCTTGCTGTTACCATTTCATGCTTACATACTATACTCTGGTACATTGGTATTTGTTATGTTTTTTCTGACTGTTTTATAAATGTCAGATATCAGGGTCACGTTGAGCAAAAAAAATCCATATCAAATGGTGCTTCTCAAGGATATTTAGTAAATATCAGAGCTCCACATTGCATGACAAAATATAAAATCATGTAAATAAGATATGTTTAGGACGCAAAGAGGTCAAGAGAGAAATGATTAAGAGGAGAGGTAGAGGGAGATCGAGAAAGAGAGAGCATAGTGGCAGTGATATACAGATGAGGGTAAAGGGATGACAGATAATCGAGGTTTAAGATACCGCCGACTTGAGAAAAGTGAGTGAAGAATTGGGGCTTAATTGAGTTCTTATTTTCTTATTTTGAGATTTATATAAAACAGGTTCAGGTTGGATCCCCCCACCCCCACCCCACACGCAAAAAAATAAAAAAATAAAAATAAAAATAAAAATAAAATAAAACAAAACAAAAACAAAAACAAAACAAAACAAAAAACGGAACCCACCCCCGGTGAACAGTCTTATAACCACCAATGACTCACCCAAGGTTCCTCATATTTTACCACTAAGTGCCCTCCTCTGACCCTTAGATTATACCCGCCAAGTGCCCTCACCCGAACCTTGGACTTTACCCACCAATTGCTCTTCTCTGACATTTGGATTTTACCCACCAAGTGCTCTTCCCTGTGACTTGGATTTGACAAATCATTCAAGTATAGATTTTATTCTCATATCAAGAGAACCCAATAAAAGCGCACATGTAAAATTCCTGTAAGGAGTAATACAAGGAGGCACTAGAGGAAATATGATAAGTTTCTGACACTAAGGAATAGTATTGATCAAGAGATCATGAAATCTTTGGAATTATAGTAACTTCGAAATTCCTTGATCTGGATGAGACTAGTGGAGTAAAAATTGAATCTTAATCAAAAGATTGCTTCTCAACAATCTTCCTCTTCTCAAATGAAAGAAAGACTAGAAATATAGAGAAAGCATGACGCTTGGTGATCTATTGATGAGCTTTTAGAGTATTAAAGAAAGTCGCTATATAATAAAGATTGTAAGATGGAAATGTTAAAAGAGTTCAATTTTTGATATGTAAGGATTCAAGAGTTTTTTTTACCTTGTGAAATTATGGGTGATATTCAAAATTTTTGTCATCATGAGATGACCAAGCATTTTTATAAAGTAGTTACATTTGGATGCCAAGGAAAGCAAAGAGCGATTGGTAGGCAGCTGGTCCCAAAAGGATCACATCTCTGTCCACCTTGTTAAGAGGATGCCCTAGTGGTGATCGCTATTAGCCACTGGCAATGGCTAGCTTTGTCTGACTGGGTATGGGCCCGGCTGGCCTGTTTGGTTTCTGACGAATTCGTTTGGATCCATTTAGATCCTGATTTGACTCCTATTTAGTCAAAACATGTTGCATTAGAAAGAGTATAATACTCAGAACATTTGCATAAAATTGACAAGGTTCAAATAAGTTTTAGAAATTAAATAATTACTCATTTGAAGAATATCTGAACTAAATTGAAATTTCATAGTTTCCTATGCGCGGAATTTAATCTTTATTATTCTACCCTTTACACTGTCCTTAGTAGCTTGATTTTATCTTTGTGTAGTTCTTTAACTTATTCTCCATCTTTTTGATGATTTGAACTTTAACTTGTAGTAGAGTCATTTTAGTTCTTTGAACATAAGATTGGAAGCACAGTATTCAATCTCCACCTAAATGTGAGTTGACCTAAAACCAAATCGCGACCAGTGGAGGAGATATTAGCAATCATATAACATATTGTCTTATTAGGTGTCATTAACAGATCAAATTACATTGGAATAACAATATATGTTATGAAGATCTTTAGAAGAAACATATATACAGATTACTCCTATGTTTTTTTTTCTTTTTTAAATTTTCATTGTGAACATATTGTTAGATTTTCGTGTAAAGAATGGAGTGCCTACTCACTAACAAAACACCTAGCTTTTTTCCCCGTTTTAGAGTGCCAAGGTGTAATGCTAAAGAGCCACAATTTATTGGATGTTTTATTGTGATAACAAAGAATAGAGCTATATAGATTTCTGAATCAGTACTCTGACAACACACTCTTAATATTTTCTTATGAAAGAATTTCAATATTCAGTTGTATGATTTTTGAGATTTCTTTTATATTTATATTTTGTAAGATATAAAGCAACTGAGTGAGGTTGTATATCCACACAGGTAGAGACATACGGTAGCTTTCCCAGTGAACTTATAAACATAGTCTCTCCTATCTGAATTGTAACCAATGGCAGAATGGGCAATGATCAGTATTTATTGGAAACTTCAATGAATGAGATATGCCTTACGTTCTATAAATATTTCACATAATTATGCAATCACTATTTTGAGATAATTATACATCATCATTCTTCCCCAGATTGAGAAGGCCTTACATGAAATGCGTGCTGAATCTGCGGAAACAAAGCTTGCATATGAAACCAAGCTGGTTGAAGCTCGTGAAATGATGGAAACTGCTCAGAAGAAGCTTGAAGAGGCTGAGAGCAAGCTGCATTCAGCAGAATCTTTACATGCTGAGGCAAGTCGTTCTCATAATACTGCATTAAGAAATTTGCAGGATGTTGAGGCTCGTGAAGATGATCTTAGGAGGCGTCTCATGTCCTTTCAGTCCGAGTAAGCTCCATGTTTTGTTTGTCAACATATTTTTTTCCTCATGTATTACTCGTAAGAAAGTTTCTTTAGCACCATTATACTAACCTTTATCTTAGATGTGTTTTCTATGAATCAAGTCTGCATCGGATAATGTTCTTGAGAGGTGCTTAGTCATGTTTTCTGTATTGTTTTGCAAACTGTTAGTGCTCACCAAGAGTTTTACCTTTTCTTTTATTTTTTATACATCCAACATCCCTTCTCATATTCTCCTTATTTTCCTTTTCATTAACCATTGGCATGAAACGAACAATTTTTCACTTTAGCCCTTTTAAAAATTTTTATTATTAAAATCAACCCTTTTTTCTTTTATTTACCAAAACCGACCCGATTTCTTGATTAGCGGCTTAATCACATTCCTAATTAGTCGGGGTTGCCAACCCCGACTATTTAGGAGGGTCTTAAACCCTAATTAGAAGACTTAAACCCTAAAAATTAATATCCTAAATAGTCGGGGTTGGCAACCCCGACTAATTAGGAATGTGATTAAGCCGCTAATCAAGAAATCGGGTCTGTTTTGGTAAATAAAAGAAAAAAAGGTTGATTTTAATAATAAAAAATTTAAATAGGGCTAAAGTGAAAAATTATTCGCATGAAACACTTACTTTATATACGCAATCAATCAAGCTTGTTGTACCCAGTTCATGTGTTATTAAAGAATTTGTTCTCTCTAATCTCATGCCTGTTTTTGCTGTGGTTTCTGGGATATAACTTATCATAGTTTTTATTTGATGATGAATTGTTTAATTTTTTTTAATTTATTATTATTATTTTTTATTTTTTGGATAGATGCGATGCTAAAGAAAAGGAACTCAGCCTTCAAAGGCAGTCTTTATATGATAGCCAGAGAATTTTGAATCAGGAGCAGGAGAAGTTATTGGAGGGACAAGCTTTATTGAATCAGAGAGAGGATTACATCTATAGAAGATCAAAGGAGTTGAGTCGCTTTGAGAAAGAACTGAATGAAACAAAAGGAAAATATGAAGAAGATTGTCGAACTCTTAAAGAGAAAAATTTCAATTTAGATCTTGATATGGCTGCTCTTGCTACTAGAGAGGAGGTACATACATGTATTTTCTGTTTTTTAAACATTATTAAAATCCCCATGGGTCGTCTAACTTTTGCTGGACTTGTCGATGATAAAGATTACTTGCACAACCACTAGCTTGAATTTTGGGTCAAGTGGTATGTGTACTTGCACACTGTGACTAGAATTGAATTTAAGATGGCTCCTTAGTTAACTTACTTGAAGTGTTGACTAACACATGGTGAACATCCCCTTAATGATCCAGATTATTTGTTATAGCCTGTATCCATGTCTTAAATGACTAAACATCAATTATGAAGAGATTGGCATTTACAATGAACTGTGTGGATCATCATGATTTTCCATGTGATGTTTCGCCCCTCCTTGCATAGTTGGCAAAGGTGTCACTTTATATGCTTATTCATATATGCCTATTCACCCTATATAAGGTATTTTCCAATATATTGTCACAGTGGATTGCTCACACAATTTTTTGTTTTCGCAGGCTGTCATTGAAAGAGAATCTCAGCTTGACAGAAGAGAACGGGAATTACTTGTTTTACAAGAAAAAATTTCAGGCAAAGAATATGTGAGTTGCTTTTATGTGACTTTTTTTTACAATTATTTGTCATAAACTAGCTCCTACTCTCTATCTATTTGTGCAAGTGAATTCTGTAATTTTGAATGATCAGAATGAGATCCAAAGACTTGCTGCTGAACATGAAGATACTTTGCAAAGGAAAAAACGTGAATTTGAAGCTGAACTAGAGGAGAAGCGTAAACTGTTTGAAGATGAAATGGGGGTGAGAAGTACAGCTTATGAGGAGAGGATGTCTGAGCTTATCAAGAGAGAAAACCTCATTAAAGAAAAGGAGGACAGTATTGAGGCCCAACTAAAGGCATTCTCCAAGAATCAGGAAGATTTAGCAAACAGGCTGAAATTATTAGAGGAGGAAGAGCAAAATCTACATGCCATGGAAAAAGCAGCAGAAATGGGAATGTTGAACCTGCAGAAGGAAAGAGAAGAAATTAAGAAAATGGAAGTAGATCTTGAGAAAATTAAGGGTTCTCTTGAGGAGCAGAAGGATCAAATTTTACGTGAACAGGAGAAACTGGAGCTAAGTATTCATGAGAGAAATGAATTGCTTGTCCTGGAAACCAAACTCAAGGAGGAGATTGATAGCTTTAGATCTAAAAAGATGGAACTTGATGTTGAAGCGGATAAACTGAAAGCAGAAAAGGAGAAATTTGAAATCGAGTGGGAGATGATTGATGAGAAAAGAGAGGAACTACGGAAAGAAACTGAGCGTGTTGCTGAAGAGAGTAAAGGAATATGTGTTTATCTTAAAAATGAGCATGATAGCATAAAATTGGAGAAAGACAATTTACGCAATCAGTTTAAGATGGAGGCAGAGTCTTTGTCTCGTGAACGAGAGGAGTTCATGAGTAGGATGGAGCGCGAGCATTCTGATTGGGTCATCAAGATTCAGCGAGAAAGAGAAGATTTTGTGAAAGACATAAATATCCAAAGGAAGGAGCTAGAAAACTGTATTGAGAAGAGGAGAGAGGAAGTGGAAACTTATTTAAGAGAAAAAGAAGAAGCCTTTGAACAAGAAAGGTCCAAGGAACTCCAGCATATAAGTTCTCAGAAAGAAATGATTGCTAAGCGGTTACAACATGTTGCATCTGAATTGAAGAGACTTGATAATGAGAGAATGGAGATTGCTCTGGATCGTGAGCAAAGGGAGAGAGAGTGGTCTGACATAAAGACTTCAGTTGAAGTGCTTAACATCCAACGGGAGAAGCTACAGAAGCAAAGGGAGTTATTGCATGTTGATCGTGAAGAGATTTATCAAAAGATTCAACATCTTAATAAATTGGAGCATTTGGATATTGAGTCCGAAAACAGGGCTCTGTTCGATCTCCATTCTCAGCAACAGCATTTGAGCAAATCAAGGTTCCCGATTAAAAGATGTACAAGTACCAGTGCAGGTGATCTGAGTATTGACATGGAACAAGAACAGAAGTTTTCTGCACATGGTGGTTCTGGATCAAAGTTGCTTCCAGACAAATCCTCTGATGAGTCTTCGCCTCGTTTATTGGCTACCATGTCAATGGTAAAGAAATATGCAAGGGCAATCTTTGGACGTTCTCCTGAGAAATTAGTGGGTGCTAATTCTGAAAGAAATGTGAAAGGCAGAGCATCAACCAAGTCAGGTGGAGGATCAGCTGGAAAAGAAAATGGATCAAATTTATTCAAGAAGTTATCATTGGAGAGAAATGTTGAAATTATACCAGAAATAGAGCATAAGAGTGGTGCAGATAAGGTGATCACCCAATTAAAGGAGGATGGTGCTAATGGTATGAGCGAAGAAAATCCAAGCACCGTTGTAAATGGTCAACAAAAGCTGCGTAACAGAAAGAAGAGGCACAACGACTCATTGTCCACTGATCATCTTGAAGCCGACCTTAATCAGAAGCAACAAAAGAAGGCTAAACAGAGTGGAAACGACATGCTGGAGGAAAACTCTTCAGTCCGGTAGGAACTTGTGCCGGATTGTTGTTTTTAGGCTTACAAATAAATATAAGTGATATTGTCAGATAGATCTATTACATACTGTGCTAACTGTGGTTTTCAGTCCTCATTAAGACTATGAATTATTATTATTATTATTTTGCCAAGGCAGTTTTTATTGAAGAAACATATTCCCCATCCTGATTTTTGCTGTACATCTATGTTCTTAGTAGTGCATGTTCAGGGGCTGTTTGGTTAGCTTCTTGGAAAACTAATTCCAAGAAAAGAAATGGAGTCATCACCTTTACGGTTTTCCAGCCCATTTCCAAGCTCAAAATTTGAAAATTAGGTTTCTTGTTTTTAAGGGAACTTGCATGTTTTGTAGACACGGTTTTCTATTATTTTGTTGAATCAAACAATAGAAATGAAAAATACTTGGGAAAGCTCTTTTTCGATTTGATGTGTCAATACTTTTCCTAGAGGTTTCCTTTTTTTTGGGAACCAAACAGCCCTCAGATGAATAGCATGGCATGTTGTCTGGACTTCAGACTTTAAAGTGTTAAAAAGATTTTATGTTGGTTGTGCTCCTGCTAAACATGGAATTCCAAACTGTTGAATTTCAAACTACCTAATTTCACAGAATGCATTTTGTTGCAGCATTCTTAACAATGGAAATTCACGGATTTCGGAGAATCCTTCACCTAGCAGTAATCTTACACCTCCTTGCCATGGATATCAGAATGCTGCCCAAGAACAAGAAAATGGGAGTGCTTTCTTGGAAGGTGGACAACCAGCAAATGAGATTGCTTCGGTAATGACTAGCTGATCTTATCTTATATTTTCTTGTCTTTTTCTTTTTCTATTTTTTTTAGTAGAATATGCAACTGGTGTGTAACTGGTTACCAAAAAATCAATTGCCTACAGCTGCGAATCAAACTGAATTTGATACCCTATAAAAAATATCAACGCCTACATCTGCGAATCAAACTGAATTTGAGACCTTACTTTTGCTCAGATTATTAACTCGGTCAATATATCTCTCCACCATACATAAAATATGCTGTAAATTTTAGGATAAAAAAAGAGTATCCAGCAAATATCCACTTAGCATTTGATATGTATAAAGTATGGTATATGTCTCTGTGAAGCATCTGGCAAGGCCATCGTGGCAACTATTACACGATTGAATCTCTGAAAAAAAATCAAAAGCTACAATCTGTAATCTGTCCAACAGTTTACTTGATTTGCACCCTGCAATTCGTAGAAGAGAACCTGGTCCTTTTGGCATTGGCTCGATTAGCAAGTTGCTGTTTGAGCTAGCTTGGATTTTGGACAATTTGAAATAGGTATTGGTGGCACATGACTGATAATATATCTCTACCCTTATGCAATGTCAAGTATTATTTCATATATAAATGTTACTTGGCCCAGGACAGTGGGTACCTGTACTGTGTGCTATTTGTATCTTCATACTATATAAATGGTATGACTTGATTCTCAGTTTCATTTAAATTAAATTATAAACCACTGAGCAAATATGGCATTTGATTCAAGAGTGTCCCTTTCCAGAGCAGAATTGTTCAAATCTGATAATGGAATATCTTTAGTCAGTTCCAAACTTCTCGTTTGGTAGCAGACTGTAAAATGGTAGGCTACTTTTTCTGCATCTTAATCCGCCATGCTTTTTACAACTAACTATTAGCATCATGATGCATCATCATGGATCAAACATAACACTGCTTTTGGAAGATGCATTAGAAACTCTAGCATTGATATAAATATAAAAGATCTCATGTTTTGTGCTTTCATTTTTCTAGAACTTTTCTTAGAACCAGGAATGTTGGGTCTAGCATTTTTATATGCTGTTAGCCTATAACTGATCTAACTGGAAGTGGTTACCAGCTCAAGGAAGGAGACGGAGGTAATCATGTCACCAGTGAAGAAGTTGACTCAGATGACAACAGTGGTGATGAAGTAGAGGAAGCGAAGTCTTCTAGACTACATAAGATCTGGTTTTTCCTCACTACGTGACTTGCTCAAAGAGCACTTGTATACTATATCCTATTATTATTACTCTGACATGGTAAATCTACTTATCATAAAATTGCCGCTATATTTTCCCCCACTATAATTGTCAAGGTTGATCGGTTTAAACAAGTTCCATTTTTCACTTAATTGCAGTATAATTGAAGAATGTGCAGGCAGGATGATTTCACGGTGGTTTTATTTCCCCGCTCTTTATCTGTTTCTTTCTTTTGGTGTAATTTTCTTTATCGAATGCTCAAATTTTGTAAATTCGTTTTTAGTGTGCAGAATTTGGTAAGCTCTTGTCTTCTTCCAGAACTCTTGTAACAGTTATTGCCTAATGTTGGGTCGTTTTACATCAACAAGCTTTTGTTTGCGAGTTTTAACTTCTCGTCTGATGATTGTGTTGGCTTTGATAAGGTTTGTATTAATGGCAAGTCAAACTGGACGAGTTTATTCAAGGTATTGATTTCTCTGTCTAAAACTATTCTTTTTACTGAATAGGTTGTTTGACATCACTTTCGTCAAGTCTAGTGCAAAACGTATAGCAATTGTAATACCATAGTTATTTTCATAAATCAGTTTGATACAGGTGTGTTTTTATCAGTTAAATTGATGGGAGCATGATAACACCTCGGTATTCTTGAGTTGTAAGCATTCTTTGCTTTATTCAAATTTTGTGTAACGTTACAAGTTGTTGGTTTAAGTATTGGTTGATATTTGGGGTGAATTTGGGTAATTATAAAATTTCTTCCTGTTTCATTGATTTTTTGACAATCATCTTGGATTAGTGTTGCGCTATTGCTAATGTGCCACATATAAAGTGGTTCAAGTTGTGCTCATGCAGCCTGATTGATTGGAATATACGTGGATGAATGGTTTTTTATTTATGCCCTTCTCGCTTTATCGCATGTAATTGTTAGAAAATGTGAATATTTTTTATGTCAACACGTACCAAATACTGATATTAATACTGTGAGAATGCTACAGGCTGTCCTGTTATTTAGGTTGGAACATTATATCCCCAAATAGCCATACTGTTCATTTGGAAGGATATTGGTATTGGTCGTACAAGTTCTTAGTTCATTACTAGATTTGGAACTATGGAATTTGAGTGTAGGAAACTCATAACTTTCCTTTCACTTCTACTTTGTCCGAACTTGCTAAAAGCCCGCTGAGGTGCAAGTTAAAGAGCAATTTCTGATCGTTGTGCACGGTCGATTCATGTGATTTTGGGCAAAATGTGTTTATTTATGTGAAATGGTAATAAATTTCTACGGTCTCTCATCATGCTCAACTCTCTTTTCGGGAAACATGTGCATTTACTCTTCTTTTTACACGTTCAAACCTTGGACCTCATTTCATTTCATATCTGCGATGTGATGTTTCATTCTAGCACGTGACTGTTTTTGGCAACAATACAAAGAGAAACGAAGCACTCACTATGTGGAAAATGTCGCTCTCTTAATGATGTTGGCCCTGTAGTCCTTTTGTCTCTAATCGCCCAAGGTGTTTCCTTGTTTTGACTCTTGAGATTGAGAAAATAAGTATTACTCTTGAGAAAATAAGTATTACTTTACTTAGGTTTTGTTTGGATACCATAATGTTTTTTTTATTGTGTTTTTATTAAAAAAAATACCATAGCGTTATGTTTTCCCTTAAAATGTTTTATAAAACATCATGTTGAGTGTTGTTGGTCAACATTTAGTTTGACCTGTCAGAGCATTAGTATTATTAATATATTATATGCTAATTATAATAAAATATATAATAAATAAGATATTATAATATTTAATTTACATACTATATAGTATTATAAGTATTAAATATTATACAATATAATACTGCATAATGTATTATAATATTATATTATACTTTAATATATTACATTATATTATAATTATTACATATTATTTTTAAATAATAATATATTTAATTATTTTGGTATATCAATTTGTTATTATTATATATTATATATAATATTATTAAAATACTAATATTTTGTTATTACTAGTATATTATTAATAAATATTAATATTTAATATGTTATTATATAAGATATTTTAATTATTATATTTTATATTATTTAATAAATATTACAAGTATATTAGATTAACTATAATATAGTATAGTATAATGTAATGTAATATAATATAATAAACATGTCGATAATAATTATATATTAAATTATATTTAATATATTATGTTAGATATTATATTAACACATTCTCAAACTAAAAACCAAAACAACAAACTTAAAACATCTAAATATGTTTTGAAATAAGTGTTGCGTTTTTGATTTGAGGATAATTTAGCTAAAAAAACCACGATTTCCAAATGCACGTCGTTTTTTTTTGTAAAAACACCATGAAAATAAGTAAAACACCATGATATCTAAAAAAACATTAATTCAATACGTAATGTTTTTTGTTCTGTTCATTTGGAGGAGTCTTTGAGAGCTGTGAAAAACGTGAGGCCATGAGGAGGCCAGTCACTATTGTCTTTTGTGTGGAAAAATATTTTTTACAAGAGAGAGAACAAAGACGCGATCATGGGGCGTATCTCAGTAAAAGGGACATCCATCTTGGACTTTTTTCTTAGCAGTCTTAATCGATGGAAGGCCTCATCTTTCTTTCATGAACATTCTTTGATCACCAACCTCTTTCCTGCTCATGTTCCGTAGTTATTATTTGCCTTTAGCCTTTTGAAATTAGTACGAAATCTTTGCTTAGTTGGTTTTGCACTGTTCCTAGCTTTGTGCTGTATTGTGAACCATATGATTGCATGAAGTCGCATATTTTGGAGACCCACTGTGGGTGACCCACAGTGTCGGATTTAGAAAGTTTTTCTTGATGTGGAAAGTGGCTAGTTACTTAAAAAAATGAAATATAGTAGTATAAAATTATCATACTTGATGGGAATGCACTCAATACATTTTATTGTTAGGAATTCAAATAAGTTTTAACTTTTTAACTCGAATTATTATCATTTTCTTTAGTGGTTTTAAGATAGTTTATGCCTTGGGATGCAATTTTTTTTATTTTGCAGGGGGACGGATTGTAAAAATTGCATAACCTTACATGCAAACTTGCAAATGTCTAGAGATCCTAGCATGGTACTAGACACACCCCTGTTAACCCGGATAATTGGGAGGTTCTACTATGACTCTTAAAATCTTGGTTTTGGTTCGGGGTTGGTCATTGAATGAAGACACCGCCCGCCTGCATGCATATTTTAGAGATCGGTGTTGGATTTAAATCTAATTAAATCTATTTGTGGGCACATATGATTAATCTGTGTGTATTGCTATCCTATTTGTGGGCACATATGATTAATCTGTGTGTATTGCTATCCTTCAGGATAACCCACTAAAGTGATCAATCAATTTGGGTTAATGGGTATTTAAATATAATCATGAGGTTATATGTGCAGACACCAGGTTGCAATTGTGATTTGATGATGGGCCAAATTGTAAATGTACAACATCTATAAATAAGGGGTTATGGTCCCTAATCTAGGGTTACATTCTCTAATTCTCTTCACCCTCATCTAGAGAGAAATTTGGCTAGAGAAACCCTAAGGTTAGAAGATCCAAAACCCATATCAAGTTTAATCTATGGATTCAGGTATAAGCTTCCGCTCTTTTCTTTTGATCATGGTAAATCTCTTTGAATTAATCATGGCTTTATGGTTTAGATCTCAAGTTTTTTATAAGATCTATCAATCGGTTCTGTGGGCTGATTTTAAATTGATGCCTTAAACGGCAATCATTGGGAAAAGTTGCCGATGCGATCTCGGATTATGATTTGTTCTGTAAAAGTTCAAAGAAAAAAGATGACAACGTCTTTTACCTTCTGCAGTTGAGAGTGATCTGCGAGATGACTTGGTACCTAGAAATCATTTCCTTGCTCAGTTGATGACCCCGATTCGTGATAGGAACAGAATTACGTAGTACAACGGATCGCGTTGTGATGCCTATATGATTGCAAATATTTTGTAGATATTTGTAGCCGAACAGAATGTTGTAATTTTGGAGATTAAAAACTGCAGTTGAACGTGCATCGCTATAGAATCAGCTAGGTAGTCAAGATCTTGTGAGGAGAGAGATCAAACAAGAAAACTTCTGTGAAGTAGCTTTTACGGAATTAATACAAAAATAATATGTCATTGATGAATATTTCCGCTGTAGTCTGTAATAAAATCAGGTCGCACCGTACCAAACAAAAGTAACTCTAGTCTCTAGCTAACTGAAGTTCTTTTAATTTGATTATTACTCTAATCAGTTGTTTGGAGCCATTCTCATTTCACCTTTTATGCCTACTTTGTAGATTTTGACAAATTAAATACACTTTTCTGATTTTCTCAAAAAAAAAAAAAAAAAAACACTTTTCTGCACTCCTGTTTATAAGCTAGCGTACATCTGCGATCGAGACCAAAAATTTACTAATACTTTTAGGTACCGTTTGGCAAAGGGTTAAGTGAGGGGTTAATGAGACTTAACCCCTTCTTAACCCGCCAAACATAAAAAATCTATATAAGAGTTAAAGTGAGTTAACCCTCCATAATTTGCCAAACATAAAAAATATAGAAGGGTTAAGCTAACCCCTTTAGAGGGATTAAAATGAGTTAACCCCTCAAAATGAGGGGTTTACTAATACTTCTATTTAGAAGGATTAAGAGTTAACCCTTCTAATTATAAAAAAAATAGTCAAAATCATTGTTATTCCCAAACACTAAAACTGATCACAATGACTAAAATAAAACTTATATAACAGGTTAATAGTTTAGTCATTCGGATTATCGAATGGGCTAACTATGTTAATCCTTCTCCTTAATCCCTCTTCATTAACCCTTTGCCAATCGGAGCCTTAAAGAAGAGCTGAACACATATTATTAATTATAATGAAATAACTCACATGTAGCTTAGAGGAAAAAAAAGGGGGAAATAAAAAGAAGAGGAAAAAGAGGACCTATGATTGGTTTGGTTCAACAAACACGTTTAAATGTTCAAATAGGAGAAAGAGAGCCACTCCGCATCTATGCAATGAAGCGTCGCAAAGGACTAGCAAGAAAATAATTATATCAGTTTCCTTTTGTGAAGTGAACGTATCACAAGTTTTTTTCCCCCAAGCTTTTAAGATTCTTTTACCGGCCCCTTTCTAGACAACTTTCATATTCTTCCCCTAAAGGGAGAATATTTGTTTAAATATCTTAACTTATTGTCTAAACATGAGATGTATGATATATCGCATGCTTCAGAGGTTGCCTATTAAAAATACATTACCAACTGAGTTTAGCTTAGATGCTATTATCATCAATATATCTTTGTCTTATGGGACGTTCTGGACATCAACCTCTCCATTTCCAATAAAAAAGGAGTGTGAGAATTAATATGTAACAATATCAACGCAGACTCATTACACAATGATGATTCGAGTTTAGAATTATACTTTCTTTGTAT